GTATTGCTAGCAACTATCATTTTTGTCTGATAAATTGGTATTTTTTTATATTTAGACCAGTTGAAAAAAAACGATTCACTTTTAGGCCTACGGAGTGTACAATCAATATTTTTAAGCTGTAACTTGTGTTAAATTTAAAACTTTAATTTAAATTAATTTTATATGATGATTTAATTAACATAGAATTATATTTAAAATTCTACTAATTATAAATATATCAATTTTTTATTTGATTTATTTTTTTAGTTGCCCTACTACTTACAATTTTACACGATATTAAATTATTTATTTTTACCTGTTTATTAAGAATAACCCACATGGCATGGAATATAATAATTAAAAATATGATATAAATTTTACTTTATAAACACTTTTTTTGTGCTAAAATAAATAGTTAATTATATTAATTTAAAAAATAATTTTACATATTATTTACATAATTTTCATTAGTTTTGAGTTTTGACTTCATTAATTTGTGTTAAATTTTTTTTACATATTTCATTCCACTGTCATATCGTTTATAGCTTTTGAGCTAAAAATCAATTTTTTTGATTGAAGCATCCTCAATTTTTTTTCATCTCAGATATAAAAAGTTATAGGCGTGCTCTCGCCTCTTCATAATGTTCTCATTATGTTTTATTCATTTTTTTAACTTTGAGATTGTCATTTGCGGGTGCGTTAATCTCCAAGTAAACATAAAATTTAGATAATTATAGCGATAGTTAACTATATGAGATTATTCGATACACTTAACTATCTAAATATGCCCATTTCAGTTATTTATTAAATATATCGATCGCTTAATATATGTAAGTATATCAAAAAAAGTTATTTTCATTATTCATTAATTTAAATGAGAATTTTTTTCACAATTAATTTAATTTTAATGTATGCTATAATTTATAATAGTTATATTCAAATATTTATGCCTAAATCATTTGTTACGCCGCGTCTTAGCTCGACTTAATTTTGGTTCTCAGATCATCTATTTAGACTTAAAAATACGAGTTAGGTTCTAGCGGTGGGCGCAGGACTTAAAAATCGCAACCTATCACGTCGCGGTGGTTTACGCCATTATTGTGAATAAAGTTTTAAATTTAACCGGTGATTGGGCGTTATTGGTTTTAAAAAAAAATAACCGGGCGTTATTAGAAATTTTACGTGAATCAAATTTTAAAAAGTAATGTCTATAAAAACACATGGAAGTTTTTCAGAAACGAATAATGTTGGAATTTGGATGAGAGTTTGGACTTGGAATATGTAAAAATTTATGAAATTTAATGGTTTAACAGATACAAATCATGTTTGAAATTACGCTCGTTTGGGTTTAGAGCTCTAAAATGGACTTTTTTAAGGTTTGTTCCTATTCGAGGTATTTATGGTCTATTGACTCGACCATTTTTGAAAATAAAATTTCGACCTGGTCAGAATAATTATATTTAGAGCAATTTCCGATTCGATTACAAAAAAATAGAGATCGAGTTCGATTGGACTTGGAAGATTGTATAAGTAGCTGTCAGTGATTTTGCATTAAAACTTTATTATTTTTCTTACATGATATTAAGATTAGCCTTAAAGTATCATTAGATTAAAAAATAAAACTTTTACATGAGAAAGAAGAAACCTTATCTGCCAAATTACATAAATAAAAAAATTCGATGATTTAATAATAAATTTTTCTTAAAAAAATACTGATCTGATTTTGGCAGACAAAATATTTTTTAGCTACTTAGTATTGCCAAAAAATAAAATTTACAATATATTGCTTGCTATCCTTTTTGTTTTATATTAATAAATGAATGAGTATATTATCCTTAAATGATATATTTATCCACCAGGGATGAAACAATCATAATTTTAAATAATATTATAATTTTTTTTATTTATATAATTTTTTTTAAGTTGGTTGCACTCCAGATTTTAAATTTAATTTTTCTTTAAGCTTTTTAGAATTTTGTGTTTATTGTACAAGTGTAAAATCTGATAATTTCTGCACATTTCATTTAAAAATAAATAACAGTGTTTTATTTTAAAAGTAACGATTGACATTATTTACAAAACCTACATTTTTTCCTGATTTATATAATTAAAATTTAAAATTATATAATATTACTTACTTATAATAAGTGCTGTATTCATAAAATTTGCGGTGAGGGCACACAGCCGCATAGTAAGGAATTTGTTTTTTTGCAATAGGGGGGGGGGGAAGGATAATTTTTATAACAATTCTAAATTTCATCTTGAAGTTATTTAAGATATAAAATTTACCAGGGCTGGTGACTAAAAAATTGACATTACTAAGATCTAAATAATCTGTAAATTTATTAAATATAAATTCGAAATGTAATTTATTGCACAAAGTGCTGTTATAAATTATAAATGTATATAATCCCGAGACTGAGGATATTTTTCTGCTAAAAATTTGATTTCGCTATTTTTGGATTTGACTAAAACGGCTAAAAGAGCTATCACTATAAATTAATATGTGAAATTTTTTTTTATTTTGTTCAAAAAATTACCTTTTAAAAAATCTATATACGTATATAACAAATAACTTTTAGAAAAAAATATCCGAATTTTTAATATATATAGTGATCTGCATCGGGCCTAATTTTTCAAGCCCGGCCCGGCCCGAAATTTTTTTAAAAAGTTTTGCCGGCCCGGCCCGAACCCTAAATTTATTTTAAAAAAATTTACTGGCCCGGCCAGGCCCGAATTTATTTAAATATAGAAATTAATTATTATAATTACTTAAAATAAAAGACATATGTTATATAGCGTTTAGTTTCAATAAATTAAATCAAAAATTTTTATTTTACATAATAAATTTAATATAAAATTGATAAATTTAGATATATTTAATAAAATTTCCAAGGTCCGATTCGACCCGGCTCGAAATTTTTTTAAAAATATTAGGCCCGGCCCAAACCCGATTATTTTAAATAAAATTGAGCTCGGCCCGAAGTCCGTTCGGGTCGCGTACGAGCCGGGCCTAACTTTGCAGATCTCTAATATAAATTATATTTGAAAAATTAAAATGTTATGGATTAATACATGAAAATATTTTAATGAAATATTGCTTATAAATAGCCAAGTATAGGTGGCAAAAATGTATGAACATCTATTTGCCAAATCTCGAAGCTTACATTATACTATTGGCTAAAATCTTAATCGCGCCATTTTTCGCCAAGGTATTAAAAAATATATGCAACTTCCTTTGTGATTGAACTAATTTTAAATATGATTTCATTAGTATTTGGCACAGGGACGTCACATGATGGCGCGTTACACTCTAAAAAGGTAAGGTCATGCTTTAATAGTAAATAGTATAAACTAAGGAGGGTATATTTTTTTCCCATGAATTTGAAACGAAATTATTTTATATTGAAGTATTTCATATAAAATATTTTATATAAAAATTGAAATATATTGTAAAAATATATATTGCCAGTTTACATAAAAAACTTTTTAAAAAAAATGGATTTCATAATTATATAAAAATAATTATAATATAATACACAATATAATTCAAACAGAAACAATGTATATACAATTTGCTATAGCTAATCTTTTCCAATATTCCTAATAACCTTAATCGAAAGTTTTCTTGATTGGTTATCATAGGCAGACATGTGACTCCTCTGCCATTTTTTAATATATAGAGAAGAATTTCACTGACTGAAAGGAGACCCGTTAACGTTTTTTATCATTGAATTGGAAATGTTTTATCATAAGACTTGCACAAAAATTTGTTATGATGACAATCATAAGATGAAAGCCGCCTCATATTCACTACACGTTTGTGATAATACAATTTTGAAACTCTCAATCGTGTGGGCATTTATTACTCTCATTATTATCATCAATATATTCACTCAACGCATTCATTGCGAGATCTATATAGCTATTTCTATTGTATCATTTGAAGAAATAATTAAAATAAGGAAGGTTTAATTTTTGAGATTAAAAATATACAATATCGTAATATATTACACATTTTGTTTATAAAATATTTTATGTTAATTTAATGAAAAATAAATATTTCTAATAGGGCTGTGCCGATCCACATATTTTTCACCGATCCGATATTGGTTCAAAACCGATCTGATACAGATCCGATATTTATATTGTTTTTTTCCCACCCCTTTTTGAACCAAATGTAATTAAGAAATCAATATTTTTATGCAAAATATCAAATTATGCATTTAATTTAATTTTTTTATTTCTACAATAATTAAAAAAAGTTTACGGATATTGGTAGTAATAAATGAAATTTTCATTATTCTTCCCCGTGAAATTAGAATTCCACATATTACACATTTTGTAAAATTATCTTTGTCTTTTGTAAAATATTTCCATAATTCAGATACCATATTTTTTATAAAAAAACTTTAAAAATACTATAAATCTATTTAAAAAAATAAATCAAATTTAAGGGGTGTTGTGCATTTGCATTGTTTAAAAAAATTTATTAATGTAAAATAAATAGACATAAAATAACAAAAAAAAGAAAAATAAAATGATCAGATCGGTTTTTACAGGTATCGGCCCTATCCGATATTTTTGGGAAACGCAAAGCCTGAATTTATAATATGCTAAAATACCATTATAAAAAAGATTTCAAATTTTCTTGGAGAGGCACCCCGCCATGCCCCTCTTCCAGAAAAAGAACACTAATTTTTTTTCAAATCGGTATCCCTGCTCATAACGTGATACAAATGGCTCTTTTTTTCAAAATACTTATAATTTATTTCATCACATATGACATTACGAAAGGGCTGACTCAATCCTAATATGCTGGGACTAAGAAAAGTCGTTACAATAATTTTTTATCTGGATTGCTATTGGACGTTATTTTTTTAAAATAATATACATACCCCTGAAACATGCTACAAAATTAATTTAGATATTTTGTACGCTAATAATATTTTGCGAAATTATGAGCATTTACTTTTTTTTGTTTTGAACTTAATGACATTTTTGAACTTTTTTATTACAAGATTTTGCACCCCGGCACTCATGAAATCGATCTCAGCCAATGTCACATAACCGATCATTCCATATTTAAACTCTCGTTGTGTCCTTTACTCACTTACATCAATCTCGAATGTCTCAGCAATAACGACGGTCTTTCCAATTATCGTATCAACTCAAAAAGTTAATATATATATATTCATAAATAAATATTATATGCTACGAGTTGATATATTTATTCATATATGCTACTTCTCATTAATCAAAAGGTGAAATTGTCAAGAAAAAAAATAGGAGAATATTACCAACCATTTCTATGGAAAATTGAGTTTTTTTAAAAAAAAAAAAATGGAATTTACTATCGACATTTTGTCAGATTTCTTTCCCTCGGAAATTACAATCTTTAAATATAGTATGTTATTTTATTATAATATTAATATCAATTAACTCAAATTTTATTATATAAATTTTGATCAATTAGTATTTATTTGTATATAGTATAGTGTTGTTAATTTGCTTGGTCGTAAAATTTACAACCCAATTTGGTGCTCAGGCCTGCTATGAGCACGAACCCGGGGTTCAGACCCATGTATTTTAAGTTGTTTTTCTTGACCTTATTAAAGTATATATGGTTAAAAAAGGTATCATTCTATAGCTAATTAAAAGATCTATTGAATAGGTAATAAACCAATCGCCTCCTTGTTGGGCGAAGCTATTAAGGAGGTCAGGAATAATTTAATCAGCTCCAAATATTGATATGATGATGGGTATCAAATAACATTGATTAGGATTTTAATAGTATTCAGGTTCACTCTAGCTCTACCGTAGTAGCGTACGAATACAACCTGGGGAAGGGGAGGGGTAAAAAATTTGATATCGCTACTCATAATTGATCAAAAAATATTTTGGCTCTAAATGGGCGGGTTTAGATCGGAATAATTTTAACTTTTGATTACATATAGATTCAATATATAGGTATTAAAAAAATATTTTATTTGTAATGCCATCTTACTCAATAATTATCAGTGTTAAACGGGGTTGGTTAGGAAGGTTTTCAAATTTTTATTACATTTATAAAATATTATTAGTTATCTTCTCCAGAATTTTTTTAAAATCTCGTATATCTTAAAATTTAGAGCTTTGTAAATGCTGACAATAAACCTCTTAAAAAACAGAGTATAAAAAAGGCGTGAAAACAAATTAATATTTTGTATAAGGAATTGATTAATAATTTTATAGTTTTTAAGATAGAATTAGCAACTTGTTTAGCATGGGTAGTAAACTCACTTTTTAACTTATTTAATAATTTTTTTATTCAGATTTTTAAAATTACTTTTTGTTTGTGTTTTTTAAACTAATATCTAATAAGATTTTTTTAAAAAAAATTTTATTTTTATTTCGCGGCTATGTCCACAAGAATATCTTGGATATTCCTGTGATATAATAATCTGTACGGTGACATATATATATATCCTAGTCTTAACTTTACTATTGGATATTAGTAGTCAAGGATTATAATCTTGATTAGGGCCGAAGTTTTCCTTCAAATATTTTATCATGGGCCTTTTTATTTTTTTAAAAATATATTGTACGCTCGCTAAATTAAAACTTAAGTTCTAGAATAGGCAAATTTTATTTTTTTACTAGGATTTCTTATTTTATTTAGAAAAATGTTAATATAATATTTTTTCGGAATTTTTACTCCGAGAAGGCCTGAGCACCAAATCTGTGGAAAAAATTTATGAACAAGGAATAATAACATTGGGGTGAAGGGTTCTATGAGGAGGAATACATTTATTTTTAAAATTTGAAATAAATAATTAAATACTAAATAAAATAATATCCGTTAAAATTAGATAAAATAATATTTCAAATTATATATACAATACAATATTAAATAATTTGGTATATATATATATAATTTTTTCCTTTTTCGCAATATCAGAAGCAGGAATATATCTTACCTGTGGATAGATTTGATCATACAATACTAGCATAAAATATTTGAAATTTATATGTAATTTATTTAATATATTTAGAAAAATATTATTATATTGACAAATAATGATGTTTGTTCTTTATTAGAAAATATTTTATTACTATGTCTAACAAATTAATATCATATATCGTCATAAAGAACCATTATATTTATATCCCAGGATGAGATGGATATGCATTGTTTCAGAGTGGAAGGAGACTCCAATTTCTTAATTTAGAAATATTATATTCGATCAGAGAAAAAATTCTCTCCGTGCCACCAAAGTTGTTTGTTGACATAGTATCTTGCCATCTTAGCTAAATGAGGAAATCGATCTGCATTCCCTCTCCACCAATCTAGCACGTTTGTTATCTTGGGCGCTACCGACTCATGGAGATAGGTCATTATTTGGTTGTCACTATCACCATTTGATGATACTTTTCTAAAGAGATAAATTTAATAACTAAAAATCATCGAATATATAATATATATTAATTCTATCAAAATGTATTATTTTACAAAACCTTCTATTCAATACCTGCAATAATGAAATAGTTTTAAGGTTAGAAGGGTTGTTATTATTATAGAATAAGTACTCATCAAATGGTTCCATAATATATTTTGCATACTTTGAATATAGTCATATTTTTAATTGCTGCATTTTCCTTTAAATTAGCGATTAGTGTATTTTTAATCCTAGGATCTAGTATTGATGCAGCATAGTTTATTTTGGCTATATTCGTCATATTTTTTTCATCAATTTTGCTGCTTCTCTTATTTAAGCATCTGAATTCCCTATCTCCCGATTTTTCAAATTCCATAATATCATTGTAGAACAATATTTCCTTCACTATTGTTGGAGATTGTGCGCTTATTTCTACCGTGATTTGATGAAATGGCGTTAGAAATTAAAATTTGTGAAGAATTCTAAATTTTCAGGAGCTAAATCGGTTTTAATTAACCCAAGCTCGCTGAGGTGTAGTATTGCGTTGAAATTCTATGTAAATAGATAAAAAAAATTAAAAAAGGAATATAATAAATATACAAAATATTCCCGATTGAAAGATTGATATCACTGCAATAATTTTGGTGAGTTATGTAATTTGGAAATTAAAGCTTTTATATTTATTAATTTATCTTCCAAAAATATTAGTCCCTCATTAACGATTAGATTTAGGATATGGGCCATACAACGATGACCATATAAAACAGCCTCATAATTAAAATGATAATACCTGTTAATTAATTCTACGGCTTTTACCACGTTAGGGCTGTTATCATGAGTAATAGATATTATATTATCTTTAAATTGAAAATCATGTAAGGAGATCATCATGAGTGATGATATATCACCCCCTGTATGTGGATGGGGGACATTTTGTCACAATTAGAGAAATATTAAATATTTTGTCCATCATTTAGACATTATAAAAAATAGTATTACATTTTTATTTGTTAGGCTAATCTAAAGAAACCCTCAAATCCATGCACTCTAACATATTTACGGAGTTTTCACAAGAGCACAATATACGATGCCCTGAATTAGAAAGCCCTTTATACATGATAACCTTATAATGAACAAACTAATTTAAAATATCTTGATAAAAACTAATAGTCCATTCAGTTTAATGAATCATTAAAAAAATGTTATATTACAAAAATAGCCATTTAAAACTATGGTGCCAACTTTGTCCAAAAACTTCGGAAAAGTTTACGAGATGTCAAAAATTCAACTTGTGCATAAATTAACAAATTAATTTTCCATTTGTGCTATTACGCCATCAAGGATGACTGGGATATTATCAATCTAGCTTTGAATATGATATCATTCTCCCATTCACATTCAGGAGATGATATCTCTTCATTCATGATATCCTCCTCAATTTCAAATAAAGATAATGGGTCATTCCACGTCAAATGAGCAAAAAAAATGAGATTTTCGGCCGACCCCCTTCGATTTTTTTAAAATTTGGTAATCAAAGAAAGGTCGATGTAACTAAGAAATAGCCAAAATTTTAGCCTCCTAACATTTATATTTTTGAAGATATTAGGGTTCAAAGTGTCAAAAATGACGTATTTTTACCATTATCTGCCTTCATTCAATTAAGCATATCTTAAAAACTACATAATTGTAAATAACAAATTTAATATCAAAATTACATACAAAGATTCTACTTTTAGATAAAAAAATTTTTTTATTTTTTTTCCCAATTTCCGGTCATTTTATTTAATATATAAGGATTAAAAACGATTTTTTGGAAATAATACGACCTTCAATTTTTTTAAAAAATTTAGTAGACATTATTAAACTCTTCCTTTATATTTATAAAAAAAAATTGGTCTGGGACGCGGCCATCTTCATTCTCAAAATCGATAAAAATGTTTAGAAAAGTGTATAAATATTTCCCCGAAAGGGGGCGTCTTTGTATAAAATTATATATTAATAATTTTTTAATGGTTTTTCTTGGACTATTTGATATAATTTAAAGGATTATTCATCTTGTAAGTGAAAATAACAATAAATGGGGCTTTCATTCAATTATAGAAATTGTCTAACGATAACAGAAATTCAATTTATTACTTTATTTATAATTTATTATAAAAATTTTTGCCCATATAACATATATTTAATAAATATTAATAAAATATGTTTTAATTAAGTTTCGAGTTCTTGAATATATGAATCAGAATCTTGTGCATTTCATATATGGCGCCCTAAATATTAAAAAAATTACTATAATTTAAATTTAAACTTACTTTTAAAAGATTCTAATTTTTCGGTAGCGCATTTACTTTCTTGTGACGACAATGTATAGTATAACTACGGCCAGTAGCATTTAACAGTGAAACTAATGTTAAGATATGACATTTGGGCAAGCAAAGAGTGTCGTCTATCTTGGAAATGTAAAGGAATTTGAAGGTCCGGATGGGTGTAGAAACTTTATATATATTTCTTCCTGCTTTTGATTTTTCACTAAAACAAAGCTAACCACCAATTAGAATCATAAAAATAAGTTAGGTATCATGATATTTCTTCAATAATTATACTTTCATCATTATATGATAACTATTCCAAAGTACTTTCTATTAAATTGGAATATATTTTACTTTTAAATTATGTAGATCTGTTGGAATCAAGGTGTATTTTGTGTGTTCCAGGTATAGATCTAGTTTTTGAAAATCTTTCCCTGAGTAATATAGATCTTCGTAATCATAATTTATTTTGATCATCTATTCAAAATATATGACATTAATATTTTCTTTAGCTAACTCGTACAATTCATATGATGTGTACTTTGAGTAAGGCCTTGTAAACTAGCTCTAGCGGCTAATCTTTTAACAGTGCCACCAATCCCATCACAAACACTTTTCCCGTGTGCTGTAGCAGAAAAATGCCATTTCGCCTGTACCCCGAAATCCATCTCATGATGGCAAATATTAATAAAAATTTTACGTTTTTGTACTGTGCAGCGGATCCACCGAAAAATATAAAATTTTATTAATTAAAAAATTTAGCAATGTTTTTTTAAAATTATGTACTGCTATTGTATTGTGTTGCAAAGATTCGGATATCATTACATAATTTAGGCAACAAATATTGGCAAAATTATCTTTATAATATATAACAAAAGGGTGAACAGTGGATTGAGCCCTATTCCAATGATAATTTTGTACTTCATCCTAAAGTATAAAGCTATAGTTTTCTTAAAAATCACAAAATTAAATATTGGTCTTCGTCTAAAAGTTCAATTTTAGATTGTTTTGGTACAACGATTGTTGCGTTGAAATAAAAAAATGATAAAGATTCCATTTATTTTAAAAAGGCATTAATAAATTCACCTACTGGTTTGGTTATTGTTTCAAGGGTGGTTCTATCTACGGATAGCCATTGTTTGTATGTTATAAATTCGATGTCCTTAGAACGAAACAATATTTCTATTTGATCGCGTAAATGTGTTGACCCTGGACAATTATCACATTTGCCCATATAAATGGATGGTTGAGGCGAATTACAAATTATTAAGTGTAAAATATGTTTGTATGTTTTAAAGGCATTGGTTAAATTTGATCCAATGATCATTAATTTAAATTTTGGTGGTAGCTGCAATCACATACATGTGTACCACTACCTTCAACGAGTATACAATTTTTGGGCGAATGCTTGCGAATTTCGAAAAACCAATTTTAACATCAGGCCTCATTTCTTTAAAAAATATATAAATTTTTTTCAAATTATCTAAAATTAATCTCTTATGGTATTCTTTTTTCCGTCTTTGGTCAAAATCGAACGAAACGCAATCTTTCTTGTCTGGTATGATTCTTCTTATTTCGTCCATACAATAAAATTCTTGTACAATTTTAACTGTATATTCGTCTATAGTTTTTCCAGGCTTGGGGTTAGGTGTTGATAGAAATCAAAATACCAAGAAATTTATTAAAAAATGAATTAATATAGTGAGTATGTGTTATTGAATGAATAAAACCCTTTCGCGCTTGAAATATTTCCCATAAACAAAAAATACTTGTACTTTGATATAATAAAATAATCATTTTGACATAATAAAATAATGATTTTGACAGGTTAATGATAAAATATGAAATAATAAATATTGTTTTATAAATTAATATCTCTAAGTACCAACCATTAGTTTCTTTAAATATAAAAATTAATTGATTAAAAATTTTAATGACAAATGATCTCGCTGGGCGCGAAAGGGTTAATCAATTTTAAAATTTTTATTTATTTTATTGATTGAAACACTTATTTATTGTTATTCTAATTTAGAAAGACTATGCCGATTTTAGAAAATCCGATCCAATATTTATATTGTTTTTTGGGTAATTTTATGATAATACTTTTATTTTGTATATAATTTCATAATAATAATAAATTAATATTTGTAATATTTTAAAAATTTCAAATTATTTTAAAAAAATGAGTAGAGAAAATTTTGATATTATTTTTGGCGTCTATGAAATGAACAAGATTCTGATTCATATATTCAAGAACTATAAACTTGGTTGAATATATTTTATTAATATTCATTAAGTATATGTTATATGGGCAAAAAATTTTATAATAAAGTAATAAATTGAATTTCTTTTATCGATAGACAATTTCTATAATTGAATGAAAGCCCCATTTATTGTTATTTTCACTTACAAGATGAATAATCCTTTAAATTATATCAAGTCCAAGAAAAACCATTAAAAACTGATTAATATATAATTTTATACAAAGACGCCCCCTTTCGGGAAAATATTTATACACTTTTCTAAACATTTTTATCGATTTTGAGAATGAAGATGGCCGCGTCCCAGACCAATTTTTTTTTATAAATATAAAGGAAGAGTTTAATAATATCTACTAAATTTTTTTTAAAAAAATTGAAGGTCGTATTATTTCCAAAAAATCGTTTTAGTCCTTATATATTAAATAAAATGACCGGAAATTGGGAAAAAAAATAAAAAAATTTTTTTATCTAAAAGTAGAATCTTTGTACGTAATTTTGATATTAAATTTGTTATTTACAATTATGTAGTTTTTAAGATATGCTTAATTGAATGAAGGCAGATAATGGTAAAAATACGTCATTTTTGACACTTTGAACCCTAATATCTTCAAAAATATAAATGTTAGGAGGCTAAAATTTTGGCTATTTCTTAGTTACATCGACCTTTCTTTGCTTACCAAATTTTAAAAAAATCGAAGGGGGTCGGCCGAATCGTGGTTGATTTGTCATGGAATGACCCTAATATTATATCTATTACTAATAATAACAACCCTAACGTAGTAAGCAGACTGTTTTGTATGGTCATCATTGTATGACCCATACCCTAAACTTAATTGTTAAAGAGGAATTCATGTTTTTGGGAGATAAATTAATAAATATAGAAACTTTAGCTTCCAAATTACATATCTTACCAAAATTATTGCAGTCATATTAATCTTTTAATAGGGCTACAAAAAATATCTTATCCTGTTAAAACAAGATGGAACAGCGTATATTTTATGATAAAGCATTAATAAGCCAACAATAGGGATGACAATATTATTCTACAATTATATTATGGAATTTGAAAAATCAGGAAATAGGGAATTCAGATGCCAAAATAAGAGAAACAGCAAAATTGATGGAAAAAAATTCGACGAGTATAGCCAACATAAAATAATACCTTTAAACTATGCTGCATCAATACTAGATCTTAGGATTAAAAATACACTAATCGCTAATTTAAAGGAAAATGTAGCAGTTAAAATTATGGCTATATTCAAAGTTTACAAAATATATTAGGGAACCATTTGATGAGTACTTATTCAATAATAAACAACCCTTCTAACCTTAAAACTATTTCATTATTGCAGGTGTTGACAAGAAGGTATATTTGTAAAATAATACATCTTGATAGAATTAATATATATTAATATATTCGATGATTTTTATTTATTAAATTTATCTCTTTAGAAAAGTATCATTAAATGGTGATGGTGACAATCAAATAATGAGCCGGTAGCGCCCGAGACTACAAACGTGCTAGATTTGGAGAGGGAATGCAGATCGATTTCCTCATTTAACTAAGATGAAAAGAGACTATGTCAACAAACAACTTCCGTGGCATCGGAAAGAACTTTTTCTCTCGCCGAAAATAATGTTAATTAATTGAGAAACAGGATGTCTCCTTTCACCCTCACACAATGCTTATCCATCTCATCCTGGGATATAAATATAATGACGCTTTATGACTATATATGTCAATAATTTGCTAGGCATAGAATTATATATTTTATAATAATAAACAATTATTTAGTAATAATTATCTTCAATGGAACTATCTATAAATTTAAATCAATATTGACAGTATTTCTTATTTAAAAATTAAAAAAAGTTCTAATTATTTTCCCTACCACATTATTTCAAAATAAGGTCTCATATTGCTTGCTGAAATGTGTCCGAATTTACAAGACGTCTTTTTGACCCGATGTGATACTGTGACAGACGCCGTCATACAGAGCCTTGCCCAGCATTGTTCCCACCTTCATAAAATCAATATTGGTGGTTGCAAACTCATCTCCGACCGTTCCCTCGACCATCTTTCGCTACACGCCTATAATCTATGTTGCATCGATTTCTCCTACACTTTGGTAATCAAAATAAGTCGATTTAAATAAAAATGAAAACTATCATCCCCCCCCCTTTATATTTTCTGCCAAAAGCTTGCTTAACCTAAGGAAAGTCGAAAAAAATAGGTGCTTACGGCTTAACGAATTTTTTTGGCACGTACCTGTAGAATAAGTCGATTTTTGAAATCTTAATTTAGAGTTGCATAAAAGGAATATTCTGTAATCATGTAAATTATGAAAGATTTGAATTCATTACACCCTGTAACCCTTACTGAAAATAATTGAGTATTTTGTTTGGAAGCTCATTTCATATTTTTGGCAAGAAAAAGAATCACTTAAGGAAAGAGGAATATTTATTTGGCCAAAATATTTATACTCAAACTCATAAGACTAATCGAACAAGTTTAATATATCAATTTTATTTTTAGAATATGATGTCTAAAAAATTAGAATGAAATGCATAATATATTTACTCCTGGCGATATTTACATGGATGTTGAAAAATATGACTGTAATTGATCTAGAATTATATATTTATAGCCAAATTTTATGATGTCCTTCATTATAACTATTTTGACTTTAATAGCTAATTTTAATAAATAAGTAAATTATATATTGTTTAATGAACGCGTCAAGAACTTAAGGTCTTTAGATAACATTTAATACTTATTATATTATGAAATCATATTTTTTGAATAGTTCATTTCAACACTGAAATGAGTAACGATTCGCTTTTTTTAAAAATTGCAATTTCATTTTAATGACATAAAACCTTTTTTAAAATTTCTCTCAAATCTCATAGTTTAGATTAAAATTTTCAGAAAAATGTTTATAAATTTTATTACACTTCGAAAATGTATTTGAGGATAAATAAAAAACAAATTAGAGATTTCCAAGACCAGATCCGTTTAAACCCGACAAGAATTTTTAAGCAAGTTGTTCGGCCAAGTCCGTTAAATTTTTGCCTAGTTCGGCCATGAAATTATTTAAAAAATTTGCCCGACCCACTAAAATTTTACCAAAATTCTCCCCAACCCGATAAATTTTTTGTACAGATTTTCCGGCCATTACATTTTAATTTCGTGATTTATTCTCAATGTCAGTTAAGGCTCTTGTATCTCTATATGGCTATCTATTTCTAAAACAACCGTTTTGTAAATCAATTGTGTTTGATTCTGCATTGTGTGTGTAATTGGATCATATCAGACATTTAATTTTTTATGAATTTACAATATTAGTTAAATTTTTTTGGCCGGTCTTTGCATTTTTCTAAAACAAATAGATCAAAAAAATAATATATTTATTAGGCTATGTTCAAAATCTAAAAATAAAACACATTTGATAACTTTTCCAACTTCGATGAAAAATAATAAATACGCTATTTAGCAATTTGTCATAATTTTGAAATATTTTTTTAGGTTTTAAACCCAGACTAAAATACGAATAATATTAAAATACCAACAAATTTTGGAAAAATTATTTAAAGACAGGCTCTCTCATATTTAAATTTTTTAAAATTATTTATCAGTTAAATATGATATATGTAATAAAAAATAAAAAATATCATTTATAGTGAGAAGCGAACAGCCATATATCGAATTTAAATAAGGATTCTAATCTAATACGCTGATGATTCAATTCTATAAATAAATTTATAAAACATAACTAACAAATAAACAATATTATTTTAAAAAAAATAAAATTATTGTTTTTTATTTGGGATTGTGATTAGTTTTTTTTTAGCAAAGCTCCACCTAGACAGAAAATATAAAATCTAAATTTTAGCAGGATTTTTATAACGTAAAAATGATCCAAACAAATTAACAATTTTTATCAAAATATTTAATATATTTTGCAATAAAAAATCAATATTGCCTTGAAAAGCTTTAAGAGTTGAATAATTTTAGCTTCTGTCCATGTGTTAAATAAAAAGTGTTAGCTGATACCATGTAATACATCTATATCTTTTTTAGGGGTTTAAAAAAATGTTGATTGCCCTTTTAAAAGTTGATATAAATAATATTAAAATAAAATATAATTTTTTCTATTTTAAGGTAACCAACAAAGGCGTTCACAAATTAGTCAACGGAAAATGCAAAAATACTCTTAGGGTAATGAATAATTTATATTATGCTTAAAAAATGTGTTTATTAATCGTAGACATTAAATTAAAATGAATGCCCTCTACCATGCCGTTATTAATATATGAGTTAATTTGAATAGCAATATCTACATTAAAATTTGCGGATATTAAGATATTGATAATAAGTTAAGTAAATTCAAATATAAATATTAATAAAAAGATGATATAAATATATTTAAGGAAGTTTCTATGAACGGGTGCGTTAATCTTACAGATGAAGCCGTTGAAGCATTCATACCCTTTACCAGCTCATTGGTTATACTTTGTTTCCAAGATTGTCCACTTATGACATGTAATCTTACCTTTATATATATTTTTTTATCTTCCTGTTAAGGAAAAAAGTTTTAATTCTATGGTCACTTTTTAGTTATATAGCGTTGCTAACACTTTTAGGCACGATGGGGTTTTGCCATTTCCCAAATACGTTAGTGCTTTATAGAAATGAATCGATTTACATTACATTGCATATTTTTTCAAAGTTATCACTTAAGTGATCATTATATTATATTTATTAGAGACCTGCAGACTCGACCCTAAGCCCGACCCAGGTACACGGGTCGGGCTGTATTTTAATTTTTTTAAATATACCCGGGCCTGGCCTAAAATTTTTTTTAAATACCCAGGCCGGGCCTAAAATTATTTAAAAAATACCTGGGCCAGTTCGGGCCGTATATTTTAAAACAAAATATTTTAAATCGCCATTATTATCTAGAAAAATTAAAAATATATAATTTTTTTGATATAATTGGTATAATATTGTAAAAAATATTTAATTATAGTTAAAAATTAGAAAAAAAAGCAAAATAAAATTATTATTTATTTTTTGGTTAAATTCAAGTTTATGTTCAATAGTGTGTTAAAAAGAAGAATAAGATAAAGAGAAAAAAAATATATCAAGTAAGAAAAAAATTATATATTTAATTTGAAAAATAAAAAGTATTGTAAAAGAAAAGTTAAGCTTAGAAGTGCAGTAAGAGAAAAAAAATAAGAATAGATAATAAGAAATTTAAAAAAAATCCGGAAGGTCTATGCAAATGGTATCTTCTGCATGTCTCTGAAATATATAAAGTAAGATATGATAAAATTTATTTATCGTTGTTAAATGGCTCATTTTTAGCCCATTTTTAAAACGGCTAACTCAATATTTTGTCTAGAAAAATATTACGCAAGGCTTAACATTTTGCTCATAGATGGCACAAAGGTATGGACCAGGGTTATGCATCTGACCGGTCAAATAATATTCGGTCAATTGATCAAAAACTGAATAATTGATAATAATTTTTTATTAAAATGTAATAAAATAATGATCATACATATATTGCCTGAAAATCGGCCCTTTATATTATACAATAAAATAAATAATTCTCTAAAATAAAATAGGACTCATCCTGAGTTTTACAAATTATACAAAAAGTCAAAAGCTTGCGCCGTTTTTACACGGCAAAATTATTACGCGTAAAAAAAACTATAATATAGATAAAAATATATGCAACAAAATAAAGAAAAACAACTCCAATTATAATAGTATCACTTGAAATATTTTTATCACCACTTTGTAAAATGCTTAATTCTTGTATTATATCACATATTTCATTAAATTCACTATTAGAAAGATGCTCTCCTTGATATTAATGACCCAACAAATAATCAGCATTGTGATAACATGTACTTATATTGTTTTTTCTTTTTTTCAAACATATTTATAATTTATTTTCTTTCGATTTTTTAGATTATTTGACCGTATTTGATCAGATCAAATACTCCTCCGGTCCATTGACCGATTTGCCAACCCTGGTTTGAACATCTATTAAAGAAATCTCGAGCCTTAGGCATATTTTTCTGTCTAAAATATTGAGTTAGCCGTTTTTTAAAATCAGCTCAAATCGAGTAGTTTAAATAACATTAAATTTATTATTGTAAAAAGGGCGAACCAATCCTTTATAAATGCTATGAACCGTTTCAAAACGATTTTATTAAAATAGTAAGATTTAATTTTTTCAAATGATTTAACTTATTTTTTTTATGAAGTTAATCGTGAAGGACTATCATATATATAGGCTTAGCGATTTTATACTATTTTAAATAAATTTTTTCCGTTCAATTGTTTCTTTATTTGAGGAAATATAACTAATAGAATATATTAGTTTTCTTTTTTTAATCCTTAATTTCGTTTTGCTTATTTTATTATTTTTAGATTAATTTTAATTAGTTTTCACTATTAATAGCTTCATTAAAAATAAAATCAAACCGGAATGAACCTAACCCTTATAATTAGCAGCCGGAGCATAACTGAATCGTACCATTATACACAGTGATTCGCCTTGGTTCTTGTAATTTAATTAATTTTTTAAAATCATATTTTGTTTATTTATCTAATAATTATAGTCAGGTCAACTGTCGCGTTAGCTAGAATCACATCTCAGAGATCATTACAATATGTAACATTTACTATATATTAAATTAACCAGATGTCTTAAAGCTATCACTTGTAAATCTGTACCTAAATAAATAATTATTCTTTAAAATTATATTTTTATTAAGTTTTATTGTGAAAACTAGTCATTTAAAGATTTTTGTTTTCGTATAACATCTTAAAATAAAAAAATAGTTTTTTTCTTAATCATCCTTGAGTATTACGAATCATTGCATCATTTATTGTTTTAGAAAATATATTTCCTATTAAATTATAAAATATATAATTATATCATCAAAATTTTAACTGGATAATAAACCAGAACGTTATCTATGGTTTAAGTCGAGACTTATTAATATTAATTAATTTATTAATATATTAATTATATTTTTTTAAACTTATTTTTAATGCAAACAAATGTAAACACAATTTCCCGGTCAATTTATATAGATACATTTTTTAAATTGTTTTATTTTTAAGGAAAAATAATTCATATTGTAATATTTATATTTTTAAAACTCTTATTTTAATTTATATAAATTCATTTTTTTTTATCAAAATAGATTAAATAAATTTAAAAAAATTATTTATATTAATACAAAATTTTTATTTCCATAAAGTAATATATACATTACACCTCACCACTCGAGGTTGATTCTGACATAGCTTTTCATCCTCACTACATCCTCACTACAAACAATAATATTGTAATAATTAATCAAAATGAGAATTTATTTTAAAAATTATATGTATAACAATGATAATTTATTACTATAATCATAATATTTTAAAAGCAAATTTTAGATATTCAATAACATTTGATGGCTTTCAATCTTTTTTTTGTTAAATGATCTATTTATTTTCATAGAATTCGAATACATAATTAAAATATCAAATTGTAGTATCGCCTATTTTTTTCCTATTTTATTTATCACATAATTGAACTTTATCCATCTTTAATGATGTTATATTAAATTTTAATGTTTTTTAGACACTATTATATTTTAAACGTCAAAATCAATATTTCGTCAAAACAAAATTTATTATAATTGTTCATAGTTATATTAAATGTAATTTAATTAGAAATTATAATATAAATCACAATAATTATTATTATTTGGGAAAAAAAATGTCAAGGTTTATTCAAAATTGTATGTATTATGATAGGAAGGAAAGATGAAAAAAATCTCTGGTATTATAATGATCCTCGGCGATATTGGATTATGATTTACATAACTTCATTGCTAGAATTATATAACTCATTAGAAATAACATTTTCCGGTTTCTGATTTAATAATTTTATTGATTATGTACATACTTTTATCAGAAATACTGCTCTCTATGGGTAATATGGCGTCATACTCAAATTAACCTGCTATTTTCATAGTGAACAAAATATTTATAAATCATCTATATATAAAAAAATTATTATTTTCATTTACCAAATATTAATTTTTTTAAAATTTTTATCTCGCTTTTAATTTGAATATTTAAAAAAATTAAAACACAATTCTAAATTATTTATCATTTTTGATATAAATAATTGCCTATGAAAATAACCTCTACTTTGTCGATCTTAGATACCTTTTAATCAATTTTAAATTAAAATCTTTTGAGGCCCGTTGCCGCAGAAACAGTATTTGTTACTTATTTCATTATTTAGACATAAATAATATCTTATAAAATTTATATATGATATATTTTCAATTAAAATATCTGATAAATTGATTTATAATAGCAACTCGAGTCAGTGGCCCCTACACTTTCTGAGAGATGGAAGCAGAATAACTCCCTGAGAAGTCCCACCCCCCCCCCTCGAAAAAATGGCCAATTATTTTTTGACACCCATAAATTTTAAAAATAATTTTTATTGCAACAATCTTTAATATATAATATAAATAAAATATTATTTTTAAATTAATAATTTAGATAAATTGAGGGAAGAGAAAGCGAAAGAATTTATAATTATATCAATATTTATTGCAGAAACATTCATGGGCCTTAATTTTTTGACCATGCCTGCCCCAGGCCCGCAGTAAAATTTTTTTTAAGCCCAAACCTGGTCCGTCCCATATCTAATGTTAAAAAAAATTCCCAAGTCCATGATAAGTTACAAAAAAATTTCCTAAACCTGGCCCAAGCCCATATCCAAAAGTTTAATTTTTTTTATTTAATGAAAATAAACAATATTTAAATATATTTAGGCAATCATTTTGTTTACAATACTGAAATTTATTATTATTAGAAGAAAAAAAGGCAATATTTCTTTAAATTAGCAACTGTTTTAAATAATAAATTTAATAATTTTAAGCCCAAACTCAGCCCACGCCCATTAAGAAAATTTATTTTTAAATTCACGCCCGGTCCAGGCCTGCTAAAAAATATAATATTAGGGCCGTGGGCCGACCCGGCCCATTAAGTTGTTTAGCTAAAAAAAATTTCATGATAAAATTAGATTTCTTTCCTTCATAAAATCTTGTGCTTTTGAAAAAACAAATAATTTAAATTTAATAATTTTAAGCCCAAACTCAGCCCACGCCCATTAAGAAATTTTTTTTTTTAATTCACGCCCGGTCCAGGCCCGCTAGAAAATATAATATTAGGGCCGTGGGCCGACCCTGCCCATTAAGTTGTTTAGCTAAAAAAAAATTCATGATAAAATTAGATTTCTTTCTTTCATAAAATCTTGTTCTTTTGAAAAAACATCCAAAAATTCAGTGTTTTATCTATTAGAATTAAAGACAATAATTTAAATTATACTTCTCAAATTAATCGGGCAATCTTTTGCCAATTGAATTTAATTTATTGCAAACCCTATATCCTTCGAAATGGTTTGAAATTTTGTACAAGCCAAACTTGTTATCAACAATATTTTATCCAAAACACAAAGTGATAAAATAAAATTTTTCTATTCTAAAGACTATAGCACTAGCCACAGTGGAAGTGGCAGTATCTTCAGAATCCTTTATATTTGTTGAAGCTGCCCAAGGCATCATAAAGTAAAAAAAATTTAGAATAGCTTTATAAGACGATAGCCAGTCTATCTAAACAAATAATATCACCGAGTGGTATTCTTGATGCATATAAATCGTTGCAATTTTGTCAGTGCATTACTCTGACATGCTTTGAGCACCTCATATCTTTACAACATTAAAATATATATAATCTCGTCTAATATTCCTAAAACATTTCGTAATTTATTTATTGATTGACATAATTGAACAATGATTAAATTTAATCGATGACAATAGCACCAAATAAAAGCTGCCTTTGGCGCCTCCGCTCTAATCAAAGTCTGCACTCCATTGATTCTTCCACTCTTGTTTGAGACGTCATCATAGCTTTGCCCAACTAGGAATTCAAGAGGTAAATTCATGGAGCCAAGTTTGGATATTATATTCTTTTTAATATCGAAACCAGTTGTATTTCCCATACAATGTATGTTTATCAGTCAGTCTTTCAGTGGGTTTAGGTGTCTCACTATTTTCATATATTACTATCAAACATTTTGAATTTTTTTTATAACCATATTCATGGTTCAATGAGAATATTTATGTTATTATATGATAATAGATTGAATGTAATTTCGTTTTTAATCCCTTATTTTGTTTTCTCCCAGTACAGATTCAGAATCTGCAATGAGTTTAATAAGGCCCATCATATATTGCCTTATTGTTGCCTGTTTCCCCAGAAGGCTTGGTTACAAGATATTAAATAACCTAGACATCTTATTATTATTCTTATGATAGAACAGTTATTATTTACACATTCTTTCTGGGGTATTATAAATTGTAATATGGAATTTTTGTTGTGTGAAAGCCTTCTATAATCAGCCATCATATGTGCCTGTGAAGATTCATGCACAATAATATCACTATTAAATTTTATGATCATTAAAAGAGTCAGATATTATATTTTCTTCTAACACATATTTTTTTTGGTTAATATTTTTGGCCATATTTTGAATTTGGAAGAATAATTTATGACAAGAAATCTAGGATAACAACCTAATTTACTAAACATCGACCAAAATTTCCGTCAACATATTAAATTAAATAATAAGTGGGGGGGGAAGGGGGGGTCTTATTATTACATACATAAACCAGAAATCATTATGAATGGATGTAAAAAAACAATAATAAAATTAAATTAAAAAAAATTTTTTTTAAAAAAGTACCCCACTCAAAATTTAAAAAAAAGTACTCCCACTCAAATTTTTAGACGCATTCGGACCCCACCCTCTTTGTGGGGGCCACTGACTCGAGTCGTGAATTAAGGTTATGAACATGAATGCCGAACCCAAATTATAAACTGGAGTCGTGAACTAATCTTGAACTCAGAGTGAGCCCGATGTGCAAGCGTTATGCAGGGTAATTAAATTTATTTTTGGTTATGTAATTGGACTTGTGACTATAAAATATTGACAATTCTAATACATAAATTTAAATATGAAATGTTTGGATATCTATTAGAGAAATCCTAGGGCCTAGGCATATTTTTCTGACTAAAATATTAAGTTAGCCATTTTAAAAAATGGCTCAGATCAAGCCACTTCTCAGTTTTTTCTTGCTAAAGAAGAAAATCTCTTTCATTGGTAGAATTACTAATGGGTAGAGTTGCCAAAATATATAATTAATATATTAGGAAAAGACCTATATTATTTCGCAGAGAATAAAATCTTAAACAGTTAAACACTCAGAATTTTTTTTATTTAATCAGAATCAAAAAAAATACTTAAAGCCAAGGATTTATATGTGTCCTATTGAGGTAATAATACACTTATTTTTTAATCGCCTAGACCATATTTTTAAAAGAAATATAAGCCCGAGCTCAACCTGAATGACCAGAATTCTGTTGAGAGGTCACTTTCTTGCTTAAAATTTTACCCTAGATTCTTTTTTATTTATAATACTACAAATAGGAATAATATATCAGTAATGAAAACTTAGAAATCAGTATAAAATAAAATCGTAAATAAATTATATTTTGATGAAAATAATGTGATATTAGGAATAATTAATAACATATGGTATTGTAATAATTCTAAAAAAAAATTGTAAATGAATTGACCCCGACGTGATTTGAACACGCAACCTTCTGATCTGGAGTCAGACGCGCTACCGTTGCGCCACGGAGTCACTTACAAAAATAAGTTTTTTTTAAAATTTTATATTAATTAACATTTTTATACCTCTAAGTTGTTTTAAAATATAAATTGTTAATTTTTAAGTATTTGACAGTTTATAAGTTATTGAGAATTATTGTATTTGTGCAAACTAAATTATTATATAATTTATATTAAAAATGTT